CTCAACTCAACTCAACTCAACTCAACTCAACACAACACACAACTCAACACAATAGAATTCCCATAGTCTTAGAAAAGCTGGATATATAAAAATGAGATTTCTAGACCTGGAAAAGTCATGGAAATTAATAAAATCTGGGGGGAAAAGCATGGAAACAATAAAATCTGAAAAAGTCATGAAAATAATAAAATCTGGGGGAAAAAGCATGGAAATAATAAAAGCTGAAAAAGTCATAAAAATCTGTAAAATTCATGGAAATTAATAAAAATCTGGGAGGAAAAGCATGGAAATAATAAAATCTGAAAAAGTCATGGAAATAATAAAATATGTAAGTCATGAAAGTAATAAAATCTAAAGTCTAATAAGATCTAATAATCTAATGAAATCTTTTTAAATAGTAATGGAAATTGCTATAATGAATATACAGTTTACTATAGTTTTCTTGCCAAGCTCTGAAATATTTTGAGTTGAAACAGATTAAAGTACAAAACTTTAATCACACACAAATGAAAAAGTCATATAAAAGTGTTATTGAACTACATTATTATAGATTAATTATTTTAATATAAATTAATATAATTTTACTATGATTCTCTTTTGTTATTATTATTTTAACATTTTGACACTAAATGTAAAAGGCAGCTCAGGTGTGTTGAGGTTGAGGTGAGCTGAAGCAGTGACTGTGTTTGTCCACTAGAGGGAGCGAGAGTCCATCAGACCTCAGCACTGCTGTCTGCGGAACACAGTCACAGTCTAACAGTCTCGTCTCTCTCAGTGTGTCGACGTCAGACACACATGAGGATCTGTGAGAGCAGATGCTGTCTGTCTGTCTGCTCCTCTGTGCATTCCTGAGCGCAGTCACAGGGTCTCTGGGAGACAACGGGCCCCTGACGGACGGGGCCTCTTTCCCAGCGCTGCTGCTCGGTGTGAGGAGACAATCACTCCATACAGAGCGACTCTGCTTCTGTCCGTCCGTCTGTCAGCACACACACACGCACACACTCACACACGCACGCACACACTCACACACACACACGCACATGCACGCACTCACACACTCAGGCAAACACGCACATGCACGCTCACACTCACACACACTCACACGCACACACACGCATACACGCACATGCACGCTCACACTCACACGCACACACACGCATACACGCACATGCACGCACACACGCACTCACGCACGCACTCACACACACACAGAGACACACTCACACGCACGCACACACACGCACACACACACATGTTGTGTTTCCATGTTTTATGGGGACATTCCATAGGCGTAATGGTTTTTATACTGTACAAACTGTATGTGCTATTGCCCTACACCAACCCTACCCCTAAACCTACCCCTTACAGGAAACTTTGT